GGCATTATTTCTCCCACAAGAAAATCGGTTTTTACAACTCAGTTGTCATAGATGTGAAACTAGTGTAATCAGAATCACATTCAAAATCTACATAAATATTCCCCAAAGTTGTAACAGAACTGTATCATCCTCTGACAATCTCTCTCAATCCATCTGCATTGTGATTTTCTCACTAATGTTGTACACCTCTAATGTAATTCTACCATTCAGTTCGATTAGGCCCTATAGGCTTATCTGTTATCAGAACTACATAATATTTTATTCACAGTCATTACAGAAAACAAGAAAACACCTAAAAACAGACAAGTAATTTAGAAGCAAATAGATCTACCTTTCAAAATGAGCACTTCAACCTTAAACTAGAAAATTAAAATTATTAATGGGAAGAACAAAGTGCTTTTAAAGCAGATAACGTAAGCCCACATTAACCAGTTCGCCAGGAAAGCAAAACACTGGAGCAGTAGCCCTCTAGTATAACGGCAAAGAAACTACAGCAGGTTCAAAGATAATCTATGCACAATGCTAACCAGTGCTTGTGAACCAAATCACAATTCTACCAGCACAAATGAAGTAAAAGCACCACACTGAACTGCAAAGAGTTTGGGGTGGGTTTTTTATTGTTTGTTTTTTTTTAAATCGAGGGCATGGATATTAGACAGACCCTTTCAGAATACACTGAAATATAAACAAATGCTAATGTAGAACATCATGATGTAGGAGAAGAGGATCCATCCACTACTAACACCAACTCTAAAATGTGCCTTTAATAGTCTTTAATAGATAGCGCATGGGTACGAACAGTAGCATAAGTGAAGTTTGAAAATGTAATCATAGAAGAATGGTCCAAAAGACATTGTAATAAAGTAGTCACTTCAATTAGTCAAGACAATCTGCTGCAGTGTACAAGGTCAATCCATCTATCATCTTCATAGGTATTAGATCTGTGGCATTTAAGAGCAACAGATTTTTGTTGCTCTTCCGCACGTTCCTGTTTGTTTTCTACCGCCTTTCCCCCTTTTCTAGAGCAGTGCCTAACATCTGTCTGCGAAACTTATAGTAAGGACAGGAAGTGGGGAAGGTTCCTTAATTTGTTCCCCTGTCCTTCAACCCACCATAAATCTAAGAAGGGTCACACCATTAGTACTCAGACAGTTTTTTTCTCCCTCAGGAAATGACTTTAATAACAGAACACTGGAATGTGTCCCACTCATGATTATTATCTGACACAGCATCTGACACTCCCCTCACCTCCACACTATTTCCTTTACTGTCTCCCTTCCTTGCAACCAAAAATGTCTATTTCAGCAATCCATAAAAATCAGACTCTATAGTTTTGAGTGTTTAGCTTTCAGATATATTAACCTCATCAAATGCTATGTTTCCGACTAAAGAAAAGTCAAATAGCTGCATAAAAGAGCACATAGCAAAATATAGAGCTATATCTCTTTACCTATAAGACAAAGAGCTAAGTTAAGAATCACAATCCAGTATAAGTTTCCTGGGGTAGCCCAGTATAAAACACCTTACAACAGTTAAAACATTAAAGAGCAGCTAATCAATATACCGTATTAATAGAAAATAAGACATTCACATCAAGTCCTCCTTATTACTAGAAAAAACCCCAGCAATCTGATCATTACAGACCACAACAAAACAGTGTACAAGACTGAAAGCAGGAATCAAAAAAACCCTAACCCTTAATGGATAGATCATGTCTGACTTTCTATTCATACATATAACCTATACATTAAGTTGACAAACTCACTAAGGACAAGGTATCTTATGATACTGCTCTTTTTGAATACAGACTTTGCATCTCACCCTGCTGCAGCCATTTGCTCTCACTGTCAGACATTCAGTTCCTCCAACAGCTCCCTACACAAGTACAATCCATTGAGAGTAATTAACAAAGAGAAAAAAACCCTAATGCAAATTTCCAGTAGTTCAGAGATTAATCATTACCTGAAGCTACAAGTTTCCTTAATATCAGTGATTTCTTTTAAAAAAAATCATCATTCTCAAAATAGCTAAATGTGAACTCTGCTATTAATTCTCACACTGGCTTTAATGTCCACAATCTTCCTTATCATAAAACTTTAAAAATTCTTGAAGAAAACAAGGCAACAGGTATTTAGGAGAGCCACAACAGAATACTATTAACACTCTTAAAGCCAGACTATTAGCTTTGAGCCAAGTATAAAACAGGCAACTGATGGACAAATCCTGTTCAAAGGTCATCCTTCCAATTTTTCTTAGTAAACGAACTCTAAGTGAGGTTGTATCAGACAGCAACTATTGCACGATGTAAAAACAGGTATATAAGGGAAACACCCAACTCATTCATACTCTAACCCATTAAGGTGAAAAAAAACAATAAAACACTCATCCTTCTCTAAAATTGGATTTTCTTCTTATGGGTGCTCATATGTCCAGATGTCTCAATACTTAACATGCTCATAGAAACACATTCAAGTTTTATTTACAGCTACTGTCTTACACACGCTGGAACATCTGTTTGTGAGAGATCTAATTCTGCAGCACATTAATGGGATATCAGTAGAATTCTCCACTGCTAAATTGAAAAGCAATAGAGTGGAAGAGCTCCCGTAACACAGAATCTTAAAAACAACCCCAACAGCAGAGCATTGGCAAAGATTACAGGGTATTTTTTCTGCATTGTTACAAAATACTAATTTAAGGCATTCAAAACATGTATTGTATATTAGCAGTATTTTATCACATAAGACATTAAAAATATAATATCTGAATATCTGTGCCTCTACCATATGGAACAAACCATCTGCGTTAGAAAACAGAAGTGTCAAAAAAATGGTAAAAAGATGATTAAATGCTTCTCTTCTGTATCACAACAAGTTCACTGATTCACAGTATCAGCTGTGAAAAAAATGAAACAAAAGATTGGAGTGCTTCGGTCTCCTTTCAAGCGATAAAACAAGAGCTGCTCAAATGCTGATCCTCTATCGGGAAGCACACAGGAAAAGACCGAGGGGATGGGAAGAAGAAGAAAGATAAGTGTGAGATACAAGAAAAATGGTGGGATTAAAGAAAAGAAAGCAATAAAGAGGGCATGCGTTGCATGAACACATGTGAGAACAAGCTATCATATGGAACAAACTAAGTAAAATACAGTAGCCTCCATCCTCCTCCCAGGTCAGAGTTCTCAATTTCAAAATAAGGCTAATAACAGCAACTATTTTTGAAAGACATAGAAACAATATAGTAAATACTAATTTAACATTTTGTCATTTTACAGTCTTTTTGCTATCACCATTTTTATTCGTTTAAAGTAAGTCACAAGAGAAAGCACCCATCCTTGAAAGCCCAGCCTTATGGATGAATGTAAGCTTGGAGAAGCCACAGAGACTCAATGACAAGTGACTCACATCACTGTCATCAGTACTAAAATATAGTAGAGTATTTCCACAAAGAAAATCCCAAAGAATTTGTGTCCAATGTTATTTACTCCACAATAATCGCAGACACTTCCTGTGTGCCTAATGAAAGGACCAAAAGAGAACAGATGCCTTGAGTAATTCTGAAGTCCATGTGTACTGACTAATTAGCCATCAAACAAAAACAGAATTAGTTGTGATCTAGTGTTTGCTATAGCACATACATGATCCCTGTTTTGTTCACTAGCAGTTCATGCAATTATGAACATATTCATCTCTGTCATGCTTTTGATACATTGGCTATTTCCGGCTAAAGTTATTGGGAAGTCAAACAATTAGGAAGAAGAAAGACCAAGAGAATTGCACAAACTCCACCCCTTCACAAATCTAGCCAAATGAATTTAGTGTGCATCCACAGTTTACCTACATTGAGCTTAAGGGCAAACACACGATTCCTCAAATGAAGAGAATTCATTAAGCAGAGGAAAAGTGCTGATATAATACCCAGCATTCTAGTTACAGAAATTTTTTTTATAACTCTAAAAGTATTATAATACCTGTAGGTTAATTCTAAGAATAGAAAGCTGTACTATTTATTTGCATAATACATAAAATCCTGCAGTAGCAAAACCAGCCTCTCTACAATAAAAATACAATTAAGTACATTTACTGTATTCAAACAAGTTAAAAATCTCAAGCCACTATTTCATAGTTCACTTTTACTCTTCATATATTAAAACATTGTTCACAGTAGCATCATAAAAGATTAAATGAGGACGTTTTCATCTTTTGCAATAAAAACAGTGGGAAACTAAATTAAATTTCCTTCCTTATGTTTTTTTATCTTGTGCTAATTTCAATCAAAGCAAGACAGTATGCAATGCAGTGACTTCTCAGCCATAACACTATCAGACACCACAAACAGAAAACGGTGAGTGCAAAAGCAACCTGATTTTCTGAGCAGATCCAGGAAGAGGAACAGCTGTGTGTGTGCACACACATGTGAGAGAGATGCTTCCTTATTACTATCATAAAATGTGGTTTAAGTTCTATGCCACTTTTTTTTTTTTCCTTTGGAACAAGAAGAAAGAGACATTAAGATACCTTTAAACATACTGAGTGTACTTATACCAAACACTAAAATCCTTATTTGGGAACTTCAAAGGGTAGCTATATCTACAGAAAAACTGAACAGCTTTGAAGCGAATTGGCTGGTCTAATCCTTTTACAAACACACCACCTTTGTCCTAGTAGAAATACACACAGCTGGACAACACTTTCAATAATGTTTTGGTATTAATACTTTAATGTTTTTAATGATAATTTTACTGTTAAAGTTGTTATGATTTTGTCTCTAGTGTTTCATTGGCTAAATCCATATTAAAATTACCAGTATCATACAAAATTGGCACAAAAGATGTAAGATTGTATTCTATAACATATAATCTCCAAGGATTTTCTAACTCTCACAAGTGGTAGTCAAAGTAGTATGACAGTGAGATCTACGTTATTTTTAATTCCTAATGGAAAAAAAAATAATTGAAATAGAAAGAACCCAGAACAACAGAGAATGTATAGCTATACCACCTCACAGACGCAGGGCTGTGCTCAGTCAGGGCCACCAACAGTTTCAGAGCATACATTGGTACTGGGTCTGGAGCCATTAGAATGTGCTCATACCTGACAGGGAAGGAGAAAAAGGGGTAGCAACAGTTAAAAAAACAAGTTATGCATGTTAAAAAATTGATATTAAAAATACATCATATCCCATTTCCAAACTATAACAACTGCATGGAAATACAATGTTATTTGGAAATGTACACAGCAATAAACAAGACTTAACTAGAAACAGTATTTTAAAACCCACGTAAGATTAACTTTAAAAGCAGGGTGAATAAAAGAACACATTTTTTAGAGCGATGCAGACAATTATAAAACATGAAATATATATCTATAAAACACATATGTGGTTTTATATGTATAAATATTAAAATATTATATATATTTTTAAAATTCATTTTGTTTAATATGAATGTGATTTATTTATTGATCTGTATTATGTATTTTTATATGTTAAAAAAATCTAATCTTCAAAAGACAAGCAGAAACCAAGCCTCAAAATATTAGGCAGATGATTTATTGGGTGCTCAGGAATACCATCAACCAACTTACAAACAATTAAGCTCTATATTTAGTTTACATAGTGATTTTTCTCAAAAGGAAATATTTTACTTCTGAAACACTTGCATTGAGCTTTATGTTTTATTTCAAATTTCAAAAAATATTGCTTTAACTACAGCATACTTCCATTCTCCAAGTCATATGAAACAGAACAATACAAAAATACTTCAAAACAATGTTTATTGAGAGCTATGGCAGCGAAGATAAAACTACAACAAAAACATCTACAAAACATTTCCAAATATCACCTCATGAAAATCTTGGTAAGGGAGAACAGGCTGCTGAAAACCAAAACAGACCTTGCTGTTGCTGCTAACATTCCAGTAATGCCCAGCCAACAAACAGGGCTATTTTCACTTTGTTTAAATCAAAATCTATCTGGAGGGCAATTGGATACAATGATCGAAGAGAGAAAGATGTAAGCATAAAAAAAACACAGACTCAGCCATGTCAAAACAGCATCTTTGATTACAAAGAGTGCTACTCTACACATGTGGAAGTAATAGAATTGGAAGCATGAACCTCTTCATTTGTAAAAGAAAAACCACGAAGAATTAATCATGCACAAATGAAAGGATGGTTTGTAGGAAAATGTGGTGAGGTTATCATGTTTTGTGCAACAAATCACTTCCACTATATTTTTTTCCTTTTGGGTTCTGATGCGGGGGAGGGGGGTGAAATCAAGCAAATCACCACATCTTGAGATGCCTAGTGCTGCCTGAACTGAGGAATCTGGACCACTTCTCACCACCTTTGTGTTGGCATGTACCCTACTGTGTACTAGCTCTTCACTGGAATGAAGATGCCCTCCCCGCAGGTACCACACCTTAGCACTCCAATTCACACACAAAGGGAATCCAGAAGGAGTTGTGGGGCTTTCCGGCCAAGTCACCGATCTGGACATCTCTTAAGACGAGGAGGGTGAAGCACACCAGCTGTGCCTTCTTGATGTAGCCTGTGGGAGCATCTTCACAGGGGCTAACATTTCCACACAAGCAGACCGACTATGGGTGATGTGTCACGGCTACTGTACATTAGCTTGAAAGTGCTGCCCTAGAGCTGCAAACCACGTTGGAGAATCTACACATTTAACCAGTTAGAAGCCAATGTTGGCTCCATGTCTTCAGTGATTACAATCCCTCCTTTACAAATAATAGGTGCCAGTTCCTGAAAGAAAACTCTCTCTCTCACTGGTGACCAAAGAGTCCCTTTGTTCACAAGAGAAGAAAATACTGTAACACGTTAGTAGACACTGATCCTGGAAGTCCTACATGCAGGCAATCCATATTCCCACCAAACATAATTGAATTATCTGCATTTTTTTTTTTTGCAGAATCCGTGACTAAATCTTTTGAGGCAAGCAAAGATGCTGTCAGGAGACTTCAGTGACAGAAGTCACTTGCTCACTGCATAAGACATGGATTTAGGTCTCCAAAATGTTAACTCCCAACAGTAAAAATGAATGAATCAGCCATGCTAACTTAAAAATCTGACACTTGGCAATATACTTGTTTTATTATTAACACATCAATACCTTCCCTAAATGGGGTCCACTTTAAACAATTTTAAGCCTTCCATGTACCACATTTGAGGGAGACTTGCTATTCTGCTAATTTAGCAGCTTAATTTATCAGATTTCAATTAAAAAACAAACAGTCTCACTTTATTTCCTTTTACTTCAAACTCTATTCCCCCCCTCATCTCCCCCAAGATAATACTAGTAAAGGGTATTTCTAAGCAAAGGTGCAGCGATCCATCAAACCAAATACCATATGAAAAAATGCAGATTACTAAAATGAATGTTTCAGCAATTAACATAAATAGCATTTCCTGAATAAAGGCCACTAGGTGCTATGAATATATGAATCTTCCCTGAAGGGAAAATATTCTGTGCTTGAGATTCATTGAACAAAGTACGAGTTCAGTGATTTTCTTGCCACTTCAAAACACAAACCAATTTAGTAACAATAGTTTTAGAGCGCATTTTGTAATGGTTCTGTAAACTCTAGGTACTACACTTCAAGGAGTTATTTTGTCAGACTTTTCTATAAGCAACAGTGACAAAAGGACCTAAAGATCTGGGGATATGGACGCTCTTAAGCTCTTAAAAAAAGACTGAACATTTTATCTACAATTATCTCCAGTATCCTGGACTTTGTACTTGCAGCACTGGCTTGGTAGTCTACTAAGAACTAGCTACATAATCTTTCAAATAAAATACAAATTTATTTACACATTCCTCTCCTTTTGCTGGTTCTGGCTCAAATTTCAAATGATGATATATAATTAGGAATATTAAGAATTAAATGAGAGCTAATGTTTCAATTTCCAATTAAAAAAAAATCTGGATATATAACAGAAAGTATCTGCCTTTTATTAATTTTCCATAGCTGAAATTTTCTTTTTTGTTATGAAACACCTAGGAAAATAACCTTTCAGCAAACTGAAATTGAATGAGACTATTTAATTCAATTTGATCAAAATCTTATGAGGAAGTTAACTTTCTGATCTACAAATGCACAAATATTTAACGGAATTACCATT